AGTAATCTTGACAACATAGGCTTTTTAGACATCGTTTTACTCTGTTATATATAACCTCACTTATGAGCTGATTGCGGCTCATTTACTCGAATTGCTTCACTGAGAATGAATCATATTTACACTGCGTCAGTGGATTCTGTGAAGCAGCTGTTTCTAGCAGAATTAAGAACTTTACAAATTGCTCTATAAATTCCTTCGATGGAATCGTACGTGCCATCATGGTAAGAATCCAGTAATCTTCTCAAGTCTATTTCATGTAAACTGACGAGTACCGCTTTTACGGGTGTTTGACTTTCAACGTTCAAAAGTTGCCGCGTTTATGGTCATGAAGATTTCCATTATACAATAAAATTCTTGATTTGGAGCATCGTCGCCTTTTGATTGGAACGCCATGACATATTTTGTCAGGAACCGGTCATACTATTCCCGTGATTCCCGTATTCCTGCGATTCCTGTGATTCTTGCGGGTCCCGCAACAATGTATATTGCGAATAAGCAATGTATAAATAAATTCGCCATGTCCGTAGTGTGGCATTTCGAAAGTCGAGGAATCAGAGGAATTGCAGGAATTACAGGAATCGCGGGATCACTTTTTGGAACAGTATGGCCGGTTCCTTATGTTTACTTATTTTGCTGCTAAGTCGTGATGAGGCTGCGAGTGTCCCATGGCTCGGTTCGAATTCTTCCTCCTTATAATGGTCAATTATAGCGAAGACTTTGCCTTAACGACATCGAAAAGAGGTTTGAGATCTTATTTCAGGCGGTTTCAATTGTTGACGGTCATTCATAACACTACTACCATTTTCCAGAAAAGTCAGGCGCGCTTTCTACATTTTCATTGGCCCCAGTTCCGTTTTAGAGCTGTTTGAGTTATAAAATAGGCGAGAGCTTTTTGGTTAATTTTCCTTTTTTCAGATAGATTCTTTGTTGAGACTTTCAAGCGTACCGCGTCTTATGTGAATCTAATTTTCGAGAGTAAGTTTTTCAGTGTTTTCCTTTCTTGACACTTTCTTATAGCAAACCCAGTTTACATGTTTTACAGAGAAGAAACGTGGCGATCATGAGGAACAATGTAGCCGGGGTAATAAGCATTCTCTTCACTGATCATGTTCTTAGTGGTCGCGATTCTTTTAGCCATTGCAAGGGCAGGCAACTCTGATGAGCAAACTCACGATACAAGTTCCTCGAATGATGTTGAGGTGAAGTATGTCGACTTTTTGGATGTGGAGAGCTTCGCAAAGGTACGTTGGCTTGCATGCATTTTTCTGCTTAAGTTCTTTGTTTTTAAGAACGGCACTCATTTTTTCGTCATGTTGACGGGGCATGATTGTTATCACTGCAACCTAGTGCTTGAGGACATGGAGGCCATAAAGAAAGCCTTGAAGGAAGTTGTTCCACCTTTGCTGTTCCTTGTGGTGAGCTTTTTTTGCAAAGTCCAGATCTTAAATGATTTGAAGTTTGTTTTTTGCAAAAAGTTCTGCAGTTTTCGCCGAGGAGTTAGTCCTATTTTAACCATTCGTTCAAAGTGTGTCCATCAGAGCCTCTTAGGGCCGACGCATTATCATCCCCGCTGGGGAGGGTCTCAGCTTAGAAGCAAGCTTAATATCTTGAAGCTCCAGATATCCATATTTCACGCTGTCTACCTATCCACAAATAGTCCTACTATCCTACACTGTGAACATATTGAACAGGTGCGAGAAGCTGTACAAACCGCATTTTTCAGCTTTTGTATAATTTTCATGATCCCCGGGGGATGACCGTCTTTTATTCAAGATTTTCTTTCTTGCAAGTTAACGAAAATCTCCCAAAGTTGTACTGATTATCTAAGCCAACAGTGCTAAGCATGTTATTGATAAAAACAAATAATGTATTGGAGTCAT